GGAGGATTTTTGTGAAATCTTCACCAACAAGCGACAAAGTACTGATCAAAAACCTAACCCATCTACTACAGGTAGTCCCCTTCCTGTCTTCCGAGGGTACTGCGAGAGCTGACCGATACTAAGTGCTCCCTCATATATCTGTATATATTCCGTAATAAAACTTGATGCATTGAAATCATATCATACATCGCTTAAAATGTATACTTTTGTATTATCCCGTATTACATTTGAAAATGCACTGAAAAAATTTCAAGTGTAAACACTCATATGCAATTCTCCATATTATATCTTCAAATGTACTGAAGATATATCGCTCACCTAACGCATACCTATGTTATATATTCAATAATATATTAGCAAAAACAACTTAATGGAAACATATTGCTCTCCAAATATGTATACTGATGAATTAATCAATACATATATACTGAAAATACATTGCCTTCAAAAGTATATATATACGCTGTTTTATACCAAAATGTATTTGAAGTTGTACTGTAAATCTATACTGCTCTTTCAATGCATACTTACCTCGTATGTATTAAATATTGTTATATTTATCTGCAACGATTATTCCAGTGTACCTTCAAATGTGCTGAAAATACACTTTTTTCCACATGCATGTTGATGCATATATATGGTTCCATTTAATACATGCATGTGCAAGTTCAATGCTCTCAACAATGAATTGTAAGTATTATACCATTTCATACCAGAAGTAAATTTCATTGCAAATACATTGCTCTCCACACCTACATACTAAGCTATTATTCCATAGAATTTCTACAAATGTACTGAAAATTTGTTAATTTTCAACCCTTACATGTACTGAAAATATACTGCTTTTCAATGTACCTATACATATGTATTTTTTGTGTAGTATTTGTGTTTTTTTCATAGTCTTCAATTACACTGTATTAATACACTAGAATGATTCCAATCTGTAAGTTGTATTGGAAATACAAAGCTTCCCAAAGGTATGCATATGTGTTTAAAATATACTGTTTTTATTAAATGTACATATACATTTCCAATTTGTCATAGTTTCTTCCAATACACTTAAAGTGTGCTGCTTTCCAATCCAAACGTATACTTACATGTATGAATGTATGTTCCCTTTTTATATATGAATAATACATGTTTACTTTTTTCTCCTATTGCATACTTAATTATTATTCAAAAGTATAACATAAACAATAATGAACATTTACGTCTCTGCAAATGTATCTTGAATAATTATACTTCCTTTTAAATGTATATACATGTATATGTGTATTTTTGATATTATAATTTCACATGTACTGAAAACTCAATGCTTTCCAAATGTATACATCTCTGCTCTATTATACCATATTATACAATAGTTTATCTGCGAGTGTATTGTAAATATACTCATTACCAAATGAATTTATACCCCGTAACCAAATGCGTTTGCCTGTAAATATAGCGTCGAAAAGCATATGCAATCAAATATCACTGTAAATTTTGCTCACATAAACTTAGGTACTCCATAATTCAGCTAATACTTTAGCGCGCTACACATGTGTTCCTTGTGTAATAATATTTTCGTTGTTTACATATTTCTACTACCCTTCTTCACCTCTCTCACCTTTGACCTATCCTGTCCTGACCCCGATATCCGTTTCACCGCCCCCGAGTGCTACATTTACATTTATATAGAAAAACGTATGCGTATGGTGAATATGACCGACTGTCTCTCTATAAATACTGCAATACTATTTGATGACCATGGGTGAAGATTTAGCTCAATATAGAGCGGCAGTCGGTTGTTTCTACCAACGTACACATGGTATTTTAACTAAACAGCAGTTTTTATTTTATATTGATGTACAGAAAATGTTCAAAGGCTGCAGGTCTGGTGTGATGTACATTTTAGCCGAGCTCCTTTACGCTGTACATATTACCCTTTGTTGTATTATCAAAAACTCTGACTTTCTACTTATACTACAATTCCTTCTAATATCCTGTAACGACGTTCATCCTAACCCTGGCCCAACAACCCAAAATAACGATATCTCTATTTTTCATTTGAACATTCGTAGTCTGAGAAATAAGTTGTCATATTTAGAACATGTAGCAACTGACTATGATATTGTTTGTGTCACCGAGACTCACCTTGATATATCTATAGCAGACGACGATATACTCCTAGGTGGCTATGAATTGTACCGCAAGGATCGTGGTTCTCCGGGTGGGGGGATAGCTGTTTACACTTCCAGTCTCTTGTGCACCCGTCGTAGAGCTGACTTGGAATTTGGGGTGGGTGAAGTGGTTTGGACAGAGAT